CTATCCCGTTTAGGTCTCTGTCCTTAGATCACAGCTGGATCTAGCATTAGAGTACTTTAAAAAATAGATTGGTTTAAACTTACAGCAAACGTGTAGATACACCTGTTTTTCAAACAAAGAACAGTTGCCACTAAAATGGCAATCACATTACTGCAGCTTCAAATTAACATCCAAAAGTAACACCAAAACAGTCAATGCTACCCTTAGAGCCATAAAACATCGTGAGCCGCGACGTAGGGGTAATACTAATGAATGTTACTGGTACTGGTAGTGTTACTGGTAGTGGTACATTATAATGGTACTGGTACTGGTACTGGTAGTAAAAATGGTACTGTTACTGGTAGTGGTCCTGGTTGTGTTAGTGGCATCACGTAATGGTACTGGTACTGTTATGGTAATGTGAAAAATAAAATTTTTTAGGATATGTTGTTAAATTTTGGAGAAAAACTTCATATACCATCGCTGCCGCATGACACGCGTTGACCTTTTACAAAATTACAATTTTAAGCAGTTTTTAATGTTTTGGTGCAGTTCTTATGTTTTAATGTGCCACTATTGTTACCTGACATGAACAGAATCAATAATGAACTGTAGGTCAGCTTCAGCGAAATGTAATTATCACGCAAAGGGGCAAATACAGTGTATCCGCAAAAGCATCCGGAAAATAAAAAATTGTTTGCCCGATGACAATATGACATTACAAATTATAAGCACTAGGAATTCATCGCAGTTCAGTTAAACCTAAATTGTTGGGATTTTTGGAGCTGCTCATTCACAGCCACCACAGCTGATTAGTTCGCCATTACATCGTATAACTATTTCAAGACATGGACGGGGACAGACTACCTGATGTTTTGTCTGAGGATGAAGACTGTTTCCAGGACTCCGAAGAGAATGGCTTGCTGGAAGATCTGGACGATACCGTTACAGATTCCGCGCATAATATTACAGTGACAACACAAAATTCATCCAATGCCGACAACAAGTACGTAAATAATGTAGCTGAAGTTTTTGTTTGTAATGATGGGTAATACTCTGTCGGCACTGTGTTAAACCGAACTAAATAAAATTAGTATCGCTGCCTAAGTACAAAAGCAGACGTGGCACCGAAATAAAGCATAATAAGCCGTTTGTGTCGTTTTTAAAGATCAGGAGGATCAGGAGGTGGTCATCCAGGAAGATGAAGTGACAGAAATCGATGGCTATTCGGTTGTGAAGGCAGGATTTGCTGAAGCCATCAGTACTGCGGAGGTCGCTTATTTTATTTTCAAAGCTAGCCAAAACGAGATTCCCGGGAGTGCACTCAGCCGAATTCCGTTTAAAATTCAGAAGAATGGGATTTTTTTGAATAATACGAATGCGTTGGAATATTCAAGCGATTTACTTTCCGACAACAACGGAAAGTGGTACAGGGTTGCGGTTCGAAAACCTAATCCAGGAGAATACGAACTGTGGCTACTTCAGGACTGTAATAAAAATACCGCGAAATGTTGTGGCTGCACACGAAAGTTCAAAAAGGCTGATGATATACCATTACCGCCAAATGATCTAGTGTTTGTAACAGTCGGTCGTCACCCATATCCATTGTCTGGAAGTGAGAAGGGAAAACCTGGAAATGTGTATGTTCACGCTGTTTCCAGCTGTCTCGAACAAGTGTCAAGACGCGTGGAAGTAGCGGAATTTTCTTCGGCGAAAAAATGCACTTCTGCGGCTACTAAGAACAAGCTGCAGCCGGCACACGAAGAGGCGCTGTGGAAGCAATGGAAATAGGAATGGGTCGTCGTATCCAATGTACGGAATTTTTGTTGTTATTATTGCATTTAATGCTACTGCATTTAAATAACTGTTATCAGGCCTGTAACCCCTGTTGTCTCTTGAACGCAAAAGCACTGCAGTCGCTTTCTAACTGACCTATGAGGTGCCGCTGCGAATAGAGTGGTTATTAATTTTTTTAACGCACCTCGCATTTGCTTAGGAAATTGTTATGGTCTTATAATACTTATCTATGGTCTGGCATTTTGATGAGATGACCACTTAAGAATTATTCAGCATTTTGATTAGATGACCACTGGGCGCACTTTTAGTGCAATTTTTCACATCAGGTTGAATATAATAACTCATGTGTGTTAGCTTTGTACTGATTACGTACATTCAATACACAGACAAAGTAGACTATCACTCATTAAACATCAATCGACAGCGGCGGCCTAATCACAGAGAAAATTTGGTCTGAATTCGCTCCCATCGGCGCCGCCCCATGATCGATGCCGCATTTCCTCGCTGTATTTCGATACTGATCCGTTGGCGAAGATATTCCGTGGCTCGTTTTTCGCCGGTTTCCTGACGTATTTTCTGTCCGAATTCCGTTATTGTTCGGACAGCTTCCGGTCCGGGCGGTACGAGCGTCTCAAAGCCCAGAGCACGGAATAGGTAGTCCTGGCCGATATCGCGATATTTCTCGATCTTGCTCTGCTCGGCCTGTGCTGCTGCTGCTCCCGCTCGTGCGGATGTCGCGACGATGCGCGATATGGCCGTTGTATTGACGCACGTTGCGTCCCATGCCAACATCCGTCCTCTCTTCCATGGTGTCAAGGTAACGCCGTCTGGGCGCTTGCTGTCTGTAGGGAAGATACCTTGTGGCTTAGCTCGCTTTCAAAGCCGGTAGATGCGAGGCTGCGCTTCACAATGGCGTTCAGGCGTTTATGCGTAGGGATTCGTCCGCGGTTTTTTTTGCAGCTTAAGCCGTGGTAGCCGCGGGCATCCGCCCACTCACCGCATACACAGCGGTATGGGATAATGATCGGTGCTCCAAGCCGTAAACCAACGGCGATTCGTACAGCTGAGTCTGTAAGGAGGTTGCCAAGGGAGGCAGCCGGAAGTGCACCCGACCATGCCCCGTTTTCTTTCGTGCTAACACCGTTCAATCTTGCCTGTTCGGAGATGTCGTTCCCAGCTGCCGTTCGTAATCGTTCAACGGTGTTTTGGACAATAGGATTGTCCCATAACTTCTGGACCGGTCGCGCGTCATGGTGTGGGAGGTCTTGTTGGGTTACTTCTTGCCATTCTGCAGCAGCATCACGATAGTAGATCTGTGGTTGGAACTCGATAATTTACGATGTTAATGGAACCACCGAATAAGCAGAGGCCAGAAAGGCCGGAAGGGCAAGCTTTTCGACGCTTCGAATTCCGAGACCGCCTTCTTTTATCGGAATAGATGCCTGCATCCATATGTCTTCAGTAATGCTGACATTGGTAATGCTAGTCAAGCTTTGGCAAATGATATCGTCAAATGGTTTTAACAGGGCTTTCTGTTGGTAGCATCGGCTGGCGCGCAGTTTATAGATCAGCTTTACTGTGCCCATGCTGCATCTTAACAAGTACAGAGCCTGGTGGGCCGGTATTAGATTTAGCCGCTCGGTCATTCGGGCGATTACCTCTGTAGCACCGATAAGTGCTCCTGCAACCGCATCATCATGGATTGGCGCACCGAGGTAATGGAGACCCTTCAGCTGGGGACAAAGCAGGTCTGGGTACGCATGAAGAAACGCGTCGTACACAGTTTGGCGTTCTTCCTCGGAGCCTCCGATAACCATGAGCTCGCATTTTGCTATATTAAGCGTTAGCCCGCGCACTCGTAGCGCCACCTGCAGTGAGCAGAGATCGTCAGAGACATCTTCAGGGTCTCCGCCGAGCGCATCATCGTCAAGAAAACACTCTTTCAGCTTCGACTTCAGGCGTTTGTGAGGTCCAATAGTTGCAAGGCAGTACAGTAGCGGGCCTAGAGGGTCTCCTTGCTGGATGCCCGCCTGTGAAGATACACTGTACTTGCCGTGTAACAGTATTGATGGTTCACCGTAGCACTGCCACACAAACGTGTAGTACTCCGGCATGAACTCTTCGGCAGATTTAAGTATGTAGTTTCGGTCAAGGGAATTGAAGGCGTTCATGACATCTAGTTTAAGGAAAACTTGTGGCTTGTCCAGAATTGCAGCATTTTCGATAAAACTGCGTGCGGCATGGACAGCGGCCTCCACACCCCCTTTCGTTGCGAAACCCAGCTGGATTGGGGGCAAAAACGAACCCAGTTGGAAAAATCCGACACAAAATCATGATCAAAAATTCGTTCGTCGAACCCTCGTCAAACCTTGGAATACTCATGCAGAGGCCATATCATAAAGTACTGAGAATATAATTAATGACTGAAATCAAGCGAAACTGTTAAAACCAATGCGAAGTCATGTCCTGAAGGCAGATGCCAGATGGATATTACGATTATTAGCGACTTCCACATGTATGTTTACTTCTACTGTAGTTGTGCCGTACTTCAATATTATTATTTCGATATACAACAGTACTCAAATGACCACTTATGCGTTTATACTTGTTAAATCACGACGTTACGTCGGATAAATGCCGGATAAAATTTGTAATTTTTATGACAGTGTGCAGCATCAGAGCGGAAGCAATCGAAGCACTCGTGTGATTGACGCCACTGCACTTTTTCTGCTGTTATACTTCTAGGTAAACCGGATATTGCCTTGAAGTAATATTTCGCTCGTTATTAATAACTCGTTTTTAAAGTTATTGTGTACCAGCCTTGCGGTTCAGCATCCGTTAAGGTGTCGTGTTGTGCCGACTGCCGGTAACACAATCGGCAATAACTACCATTACCAGTACCAGTACCATTACGTGATACCACTAACACAACCAGTACCATTACCAGTAACAGTACCATTTTTACTACCAGTACCAGTACCAGTACCACTATATTGTACCACTACCAGTAACACTACCACTACCACTACCATTACCAGTAACATTCATTAGTATTACCCCGCGACGTAGTACCCAAAATTTGCAGATGCTTTATGTGATTTATATATATGATATATATATGATTTATTGATCGAATACAAAGATATATATATGATGATTTATTGATTTATTTATTGATCGAATACATTATATATATGATTTATTTATTTATGAATTATATATATGATTTATTGATCGAATACAAAGACAAGCTTACATTTCACAAAAGAAACAAATCATCGTAATATTTGTATTAACACACAGCAGAAACATGCGGCCGGATAATTACAGAGGTAATTTGGTCCAAATGCGGCTAATTTGGTCCAAATTAGCCGATGTCGGTGCCGTTCCCAAGATGGATGCACATTGTCATGTTCAAAAGGCCATAAAAATAAAAATCATGTTCAAAGCAAAGTATTCATAATGTTATGAAAATAGATTAAATAACTAAAAAAATTGATTAGTTACTGCCATAACGTCATGCTGATTGAAAAAAATCCAGTAAATTATTATTTCATGTACTGATGTAAACTTAAGCCTCATATCACCTGTAAAGACCAAGTATTAATTTTTGAGTTTTTCACACTCTTTAGCCGTCTCGTCCAGCGCTTTACGCTGCACTGTGTTGACGCAAAAGTTAATGACGGCATTGGCAGCATTTTCCATTCGAGTCAAAATTTTAAGAAGCGCTTCCCGCGTACAGACATACGAACTCGGTAAACCCGCCAGTGAGCCGATGAGGGGCACCAACTTTATCGCCTCTCTAGCAATCGCAAAAGGTCTTTCTTTTTCTTGATATACCAAGTCCTTCATCAAGGAACCGGAAAGGTTGTCTTTGTCTAGTGCTGACCAGTCAGGCAGTTCAAGATGCACCACTACTTCTTTTTGCAATAACTGAACGTCAATTTCATGGACATCAGCTGTCTTTGTCAGCGACTCCAGATCCAGTCCCATCTGGTGCAGGTAGAATATGAACTGCGTGCGAATTAGTTGTAGGTCCATCAGGGAAGACAGTCCTGCAACATTTTGCTAGTATCGTGGTAAAAGTAACATGGACTGCCTAGTACCGATATTCAGGAAAGTGGGAAATCAATAAATTTAAGCAGACTCACTACAAAGCGGACGATTATTCACATCTATCATCTGCATTTTCGAATTTTACACATAATTTACATAGTTGAATGTAATCATTTTGTGATTACGACCTGACTTCACAATGGATTTTGCGACGTGGCAGTAATGCCGGCTTGTAAAGAAACTGAATTTTTATTGATGTTTACAATCGCGCCATAACAGTTAAGAGGTACAGTAGTTTCCCGTCAGATCAGCGTAAAGGTCGACAAATGTTTTAGTACGTAGTCAAAAATCTTAGTAGTCAAAAAAGGGGAGAAATTTGAACAAAACGTTTGATGATGGCAATGGGAGCTTTTGCTGAGCACAGAGGAGGTGTGCATTTGCAATGGTGAGGCCGGATGATGACATCAGTTCGTGTACAGTGAAACCTCATCGTACGTACACCCCGAAGAAACGTACACCCCTCTATTGCGTACGAGAAATGCTGTACCGAATTACGCCGTAGACTAAAGTACAGGGGGGAACCTCTACGTAACGTACACCTCAGCGTTGCGTACACGTACACTTATTCTCTGTACCGCATGAGCACTGAACTGTACGCAGTCACCTCGTGGATGCGTACACCGCTTTTTCGGAACTGGAGATTTTAAACTTTTGAATGGTAAAGTTGTGAAAATCCAAAGAAGCGAAAACTTTACTCAAAATTGCTAGATTTTTGTATCCTAAGTAATGTTTTAATAATCTTTTCTGTTAAAAGTGTGTGAGAGAATTGTTCTCGTCTGTTTACATACGCACAGACTGATGTAAATTCGTATGTAAACTAATGAAATCCGTGTATTTTTATGGTTCCATGCATTGCGCAGTGCGCAGAGTATTTCGTAGTGGGGCAGTGCCCCTAGGTCTGCAGTAACCCCCCAGGGGGGCTGGGGGTAGCTAATTTGAATTCCGTACACCCCTGAATTGCGTACGAAATTTTCCGTACGGAGGTGTACGTATTTCAGAGGTTTCACTGTAATGCAACTGATTCTTTTCATTACATTAAATTTGTCTGAGTGAGATAATGACGCACATTCACTTGCACATTTGCACTCACCGGGCAGAGGGTGCAATCCAAAAATACCCGAAGCCAAAGAAACCATCCACACTCGGCTTTTCAGGTATTCCGCCTTTTCTTGGATGACCTTCTTGCTTAACATACCCATGGGGTTCAAGGAGTATAGGAATGTCTCTCGTTTTAGCTCGGGCAGTGCACCCACGAGCCTTTGCTGCAGTTTGGCCATATCATACTTGCCGGGTACATGACTGTCAATAAGAAAGACATTCCCCGTTTCCCTTTCCTGCAATCCGAGCTTTGCAATTATGTCGCTTCTGACATGCTCCAGAATTTCGTCATCCGACTTCTCCTTTGATATTCGAGGATAAGAATTGCGCTGGTTTTGTACATCAATGCCGCTTTTTGTGCGAACAAAAAAGAACTTCTTGCCTCGTTTCTTAGCTTGCTCGCTTAACCAGAGGTCACTCTCTGAAAAGCGAGAGCAGGATAGTATGAAGTAGAAATCATAGCGGATGAAATTAATTTTTTCAAGATATGAGTCTCGTGGGAAGCTTGGTGTGCCCACTCCCGGCAAATCCCAGTACAACAACAGTTTGTTGTCGGGATGAGGGTATGATCGTATAGTGGCTGTGGTCTCCGTGATCCCAACAGCTGCGCTTCCTTCATCCTCTGCGGTTACATTACGGCTACAATTAATGTAGCTTGATTTTCCAGCGCCGCTCTGACCGATGATGGCAATATTTAGAGGAACAGTTTTCCATCGCTCATTGCGTTCATGCAGAAGTTTAGCGAAACCGGCTGTTCCTCCTTTTCGAAATATTTCCTCGACTTCTTTTTGTTCCTCATCGCCAAGGAATCCGATTGGCACTTGATGGTTATCATCCGTGATTCCCGCCATTGCCAAGGAATTAATCGATTATGGTTCGAAATTAAAGTTCTGCAGAACACTGGGTCACCCGTCTTGCGTGTGTTTGAACCTTGAAACAGCAGTTACGCTCCAGTAGACAGCATTCCAAATATTTGTAAGTGGTTGCTTAATGTTAATCAAGCAAACAAAAAAGTTTTATTTCTTCACTGTTTTAGTCGGCTTACTGCGCAACATAATTCATCGGTAGACTGAAGATGTTTGAGCTTTGTCTTCGAGCGCCTTTTGTCATGGCACTTTCACCAATCAGCAATTTTATTGCTTCGTTGTGAAGAAAATATCGGTCTCTTTCAGCTTTAAAGCGGCCAAGATAAAAATAATAATTAATCTAACCATTGTTTCCAGTAGATTAGAGGTAAAACAGCGAAGCCGACATTGCGTGACCTGTAAGCGGCTTCTTGGATCCGTGAAGACAGTTTTACAGTACTTTCATCTACCTAAGCGCTAGTGGCAACGACCTACAGAAATTACTATTATGGTCGGTATCTTATCAGGCTATGGATTTGATTTCTTAGGATTCGGAACTTCTGATCGACCATGTGTCCATTATTGCATACCCTGTTCTGGTCTGTTATGGCTCAAACTTTAAAGCAACCTAAAGCACCTGCACGACCTATTTAGTTCCACAATCATATTTTATAATAAAAATTAGAGAAACATAAAATTGAAAGCGTAAACGTCGCATAACAATAAAGATAAACAGGGTAATTCCTTGATTTTTGAATTCTCTTAGTTCTTCTTTTTGATTGTACTGATCGTTAAAGAAGACCATTATATTGTGCTTTCCATTGATTTGGTTCTTGAGTAAATAATGTAAACGTACAGCTATATAGTGACTCTAACAATAACGTCATGTTCTAGGGCCCTGCATTTTGAATTATGACCGAAGGCGAATAATCATTAATATTGTGGCCCAAACTCCATAGTTTTTAGGTATAATATGTTGCCTAAAATTTCTGTGACCGATGGGAGTCACCGTACTGTGTGAAGATAAACAAAATTTGGCTGCAGCAAGAATGGGCTATCTGGAAGCACCGTCTCATCGTTAAGAACAGTGCTGAGGTCCGAGAGTTAAAAATTATGAATTTTATGTCACCAGTCCGTTGCACAGGCATGACCTTTTAGGATGTTTTATTTTTATGATAGTTATGCAATCATTACACATTTTATTATAATAACTGCAACACTGTTAATAGGTGAATGAAGTATGAACTTTAGATACTGATAATAAGCTTAGGTTATTTTGGTTTCGCTACAAGCCGTTAACATGCAGCTTTATTTGACAACGACAAGAATAGTCGTACTAGTATATTTATGTTGCTTTTTTATACTGGAGTCATATACGATGTGATTGATGGACCGCAGTTTTATTTTAGCGATCATAGCTAAGAATGTGTTATGGCATTACGCTCTCTTAATTTCGTTATTTCTCTCCCGAAGCCGGCTTCTTATTTCTAAGTTCTTCACAATCTTTGCGCGTCTCCTCGAGCGCCTTCCGGTGGACCGTGCTAACACAAATGTCAATAACTTGGTTAGCGGCATTGTCCATTTTATCCAGAATGGTATACAAGGCTTGGCGCGTCAACAGATACGAAATCGGTGCAGCAATCAGTGATCCGATAATCGGGATAAATTTCAGTGCCTCTTCCACAATTTGCCCAGATGTTTGGTACGCCAGTTCTTTACAAAGAGAAAATATGAGATCTTTTGTTACCAGGCTCGGCAGGCAGGAAGCCACTGCTTTCTCCAACAGGTGGACATCTACTCCATGAGACGCGGCTGTTGCGGCCAGTGATGCTGGGTCCAGTCCCAGCTGGTGTTTGTAGAATGAACACTCGGTAAAAACCAGGGTTAAGTCAATTGCAGCTGATGCTCCTGTAACAATTATAAAAATACGAGTATGTTTCCTATGTCAAGTGTCTGATGATCAGGAGTACATGCGCAGTCTGAGCTCTGAAGTTCCTTTCAATTTCCCTGTGACACATATTACACGTCAATCATGCCTTTAATCTTGTAAGATGAACTGTTTAAGTAGGCGGTTCTACATAATATTATTACATTGCCGATAGACCCCATTGATAAGCTAGTAGTATGTAAACTTTCTTCACGATTTTAAAGTCCGCTGCCGTTAGGATGACTGCAACAGAGTTTGTAAGGTCTACATACTGTATAGTCCAATTAGTATAATAATTATTATGATTATACTAACTAGATTATGACCAGGGACGGTTAGCCCTCTTGGTTTGAGAATTACAGATTATAAAGGTCAACAGTTTTGTGGCTACCTGGGTGTGACCTATAATTAGTACCAAAAGCAGCACGTAATTCTGTCATTTAGTTATTTTAGTTATTTACGCCACCATAAACCCTCAACAACGTTACGCTTTGCAGTTAAACAGTATAAAAGGTGTTGCAGCAAACTCACCCGGTATAGGGATTAAACCAGTTATACCAGAAGTTAGAGCGATCATCCATATGCGATTTTTAAGGCTTTCCACCTTTTCTTGAAGGATTTTCTTGCTCAGCATACCCATGGGACTCAAAGAGTATAAGAACGCTTCTCGTTTTAATTCCGGCAGAGCACTCAGAAGTCTATCCTGCAGTTTCCAGAACTCGAATTTCTCCTTCTTGTAGCTGTCAATTAAAAAGACATAATCCCTCTGTGCTGGCTCCAAATTTAACTTGGCAATAATGTCGTTTCGGACTTGCTGAAGAATATCATCGTCCGACCTGTCCTTGGATCCTTTAGGATGCGATTTGCGCTGGTTTTTTACATCGATGCCGCTCTTGGTCCGCACGAAGAAAAATTTCTTGCCATGTTTCTTGATTTCTTCGCCTAACCACAGGTCATTATCTGAGAAGCGGGTGCTGGACAGTAGTAAATAGAAATCGTAGCGGGTGAAATTGATCTTTTCCAGATAGGTCCCTCGTGGAAAATTAGGGGTGCCCACGCCCGGCAGCTCCCAGTACAACAGCAGGTGATTGTCTGGATGTGCGTAGGATTTGATAGCCGATGTTGTCTCCGTGATCCCGACGGCTGCGCCTCCTTCGTCCTCCGCTGTAATGTTACGGCTGCAGTTAATGTAGCTAGACTTCCCCGCGCCACTTTGGCCGATAACGGCAATATTCAGTGGAACAGTCTTCCAGCGATCATTGCGGTCCTGTAATAACTTAGCGAAGCCGGCTGCTCCACCTGACCGGTACACTTCCTCGATTTCTTTTGCATCTTCCTCGGGAAGATGACCGAATGTCGCTTTTAAATTAGGATCCGTGGTACTGACCGCCATGATTAACACCCAATCGAGTTGTTAATGAAAGTTATAATCAGCCGGCAAATGAAGCAGCGAAGCGCAGCGTACTCTGTGATTTGTAAAAATACCAGCTGAACGCTTCACCGGAAATACTAATCACACGTTCCTATTGTGAACTAAAATTTATTGTATGCTTATCAGGCATTTAATTTATTACAAACATCGAAGAATGCTGCCGCAATTGACTTAAAATCTGCGTGGCCGACTAAAGCGAGCCGCACAAACGTGTGCTGTGATGTGCAGTCAGAGCAGATAAAGTAGCCGTACGAACACTGTGTACATTTTGTTAAACTTTCTTGTTTGCAGCTCGCAGTCGTTTATCTCGCCGCTTCCTGACTCAAGGTGACCTTTCCAACATGTCTGTCGTAAAACAATTTAATGATAAGTAAATACAGAGTATAAAAGTGCGCCTTTGTTCTCCTAAAGCAGTGATAGCAGATGCAAATACTGCAGCGCCAAAGTTGGAAGAAACAATGGCAAGGCCTGGATCGACTTCCGTGATGACGGCTTCTTTGATGCAGCGAATGTGCTTACTAATGATCAGATCCGTGTTAAGTTGTTAACGACGGTACCACATACAATCCAGTGTCGTATAACATCTCGACGAGACCGGGGATTATAATTAATTTCAAGCAGAGGCAGAGCGCAAGGAGCGCTCAGAAAGGTGGCCACTACACCGCAATTTATTGGCGGTAGTCACCCAAATAACAGCGACTGAAAAAGCTGATACACTGCTTGAAATTAAAATTTGGACAGTAAAATCTTTGCTCCCTCACGGGTTGATAGGTAACATACATTATTAAACGTAATGGTACTCGTATATTTTGAGAAGCATTCACAACATAAGATCTGAAGTAAAAGCGACTTCAAAGTAAAGCGTGAATTATTGTGCTGAAAAGACCAAGCTGCTAGTTCCGTAAAATATCCAAAAGATCCAGAAAAATAATTGCATATATAAATATAAATCACAAAGCTGGCCCTCTCTTTAGTAGCTGCTGTAACCGTTCGCTTGCCGGAGAACGGAACGTGGTGAACGCTCCCGGATATACCGGAAGCGTTCTGCTTTTTCTCTTAAAATGCGTAAAAACGCCGGTATAGAGTTTTGTGCTGCAAAACGACCGGCGTACTGGCCCGAACGAAAACGACACACGAAGGCATTCGCTTGATTTGAAGAATCAAATCATCGAAAAGCTACTTGTTCCATTGACCGGAGCGGTACACCGGCCGCTTCGTACGGTAACGTGGGAGCGAAAACCTGGCCCGCGCAATGCCCGAAAAATATTCTCCTGCACTCTACTTCACCTACTCGTAGAGACCGTCAAGTGGCCACCTATGTTATGTGAATGGGTGACATACGTTCAAGTGGCCAGGCCCTGATTAGTTTGCTCCAGAGCCAATTTTCTTTCGGTTGTTTAGTATAGCATGTTAAACACAGCTTTCTCTTATCAGAGTACATGAAAATTTTGGAATCGAATGAACCGTTTTTTGTTGTTAATGTTGTAAAAACCAGTGACGAAACTACGAAGCCACGCCACACGAGCCAATACACTACAGAAAATTTACTGCAGTGATGACCGCATATGTTCAATGGATTCACAAATTCACAAATCTGTTTTTGTCGCACGCATTTTTGCACACTTGAGGGAGTTTCAGCTGTACTGTAATTAAAACTGTATGAGGAACAAGCAAAGGCCTGTGAATAATGTTTTCGTTGCAACCGCACATGTGCGGTTGTCACTGCAGTATTTTCGGTTCTACCGATTTCAAAATTTTCAAGTACTTTAAAAATAGAAAGCTGTACCAAAAAAAGCAAAAGAAAATCGGTTCTGCAGCAAAATAATCAAGCCTGGCCACTTGAAGGTATGTCGTCCATTCACTTAACATAGGTGGCCACTTGAAGGTCTCTACGGGTAACCTATCTGCTCGCAAAAAAACATCGGCTCTTTCACGACCTTTATTTCCCGGAATATTGAAGGTCCTTGGTTTGGGGTGGCCAGACTTCGTGTTCCTCAAGCCGCGCAGTGCCGTGACAAAGTTGTGGCAAAGAACAAGTTGTGGTTGTTTTATGGAACATATACGTTAAAAAATATCCATTGTAGTGGTTAAAGTTGTATTTCCGCCGATTTTGCCCAACTAGCAAGCTGATCTGTTAAAGATGATGATCACAACTAGTCAACTACCATACGTGGGTCCACAAAACATTTCTGGTACAATCGGCGCAGCTCTCGCCAATGTGCCCAGCGATTACACCATTTTGACGAACCAACTGAGTTATTCTTTTCTGGAATGCTGCATGAATCAGAAGGTTCTATCAAGAAAACAACAACTGCGTGAGCTTTTCCACCCCGAACGGAAGCAGCGTAAGAGGATGACGCTACCGTCACTTCCGTCTCCGGATTGCCGTGCATATGTGCAAGATCAAGACTAAGACGATACAATCCGTTTCCTTACTAGTTGGTACACATCAGTGTTATGGGTCATTTGACTATGGCAAATTGAGAGATCTTGCACAGATAGCAATGATCTCCAAGTATCTAGTTCTAGATCTTTATTACCACGAACAGAAAAAATTGCATACACCAATGCCAGAATCCCAGACCGAATTAACAAAAACCACTGCTATCATCGGAAAGCCCATGTTCTAAAACGCGGCCAGAGGGTGTTCGTTTTTTTCGAAAATGCATTCAAGCGACCAAACAAATCACCTCCAAAAGCCGGGTCTGCCATGTAAAGTTAAAGTTCATCCATACTTAAGAATACTGTGTTTATACTTACGAAATTACTGTTGCTACGTTAAAAATATTAGGTTTGAAAATAAGTGACCTCAAAGAAGACAAATATTCGGTTAATCCCATAAGGGATTAATTGGGTCTTATGGGATTGAATATTGATTACCCCTTTCTAATTGTCGAACGTAAGAAAATGCGTAAAACGTAAAACATTTCCACCTTACTGTTAACCATTTCGGGGAAACGTCGAAAATATTACGCTGATCAGAAGTCTTTCAATCAGAAAATCGCTGACAAAAATCTGCATCATGTACCCAGACAGGCATTCAAATCGTGAAATGCAATTGTGCAAAATATAGTACGAATCACTACGAGGTAATTAGTACTCATTTCACTGACCAAACACACAAGATACTCGTAATTACACTGAATGAGTGACCAAACTACCACCGCTACCTAGTGCACGCTTCCCGTTGGGTGAATGAGTGACCAAACTACCACTGCTACCTAGTGCACACTTCCCGTTAGGTGAATGAGTGACCAAACTACCACTACTATCTGCTATCTACCACTGCTATCTGCTGTTATCTGCTACCACGTATACGGTATACCTATACAGATCCACTGAGGACCACAAGAAATGCGGAGGCGAAGCCGACGTCATTTCTTGTATATCAATATGACCGGATACCAGTGTTGAGTCTGTTGACCCAGCACGGTATATAAGCACCGCTATATTCTATCGGGAATGTTATTAATCTATTTTATTTGTCTGTAGAATTTCGAGTATTGGATAATCCGTTATTTGCTGAATATTAACTTATGCCTGGTCGATTCAAGTTAACCGCCATGTACAACGTACAAAAGCATACTCTTGCTCTTGGGTGCTTATGCGTTCTTATGTATTCTCAATCTTGGACGTCGGTGGCCGCTGGACGGACAGGTGGCGCTGCGGCGGCCGCTGGTCAAGCCGGAACGTTCGTTTCCGCTGACGGGAGCGGGCTGAACATTTTGCAGGGCAGCTGTGGGTACGGAGCACCGGGTCCGAGCGTCTGCGTCGAGAGCAACGGACTGGTCAATGCGCTTTCGCCCGGCACGGTCGCCAGCGGCACTGAGTGCCGGCGCGTTGGGAGCCGCTGTCTTTTCGAAAAGACGAAATGCACGGCCTCAGTGTAGCCGCCAGAGGCCGTCTCGTTAACAGGCCGCTGGCATGCCAACGGGAGGTACTGCCAGCGGCCTCTTGATGGCATCCCAAGGATGGCCGCTGTCTGCCAGCTAGCTGGACGATGCCGGTTAATGCACAGACCGACAAAGAGGATTTACAGTCCAGCTGGCTGGACGCTGAATAACCTCCACCATGACAATGACAGGCCTCAGATATCGCGGGACGCGCGTCTAATGTTCGCGCTGTATAATTAATCGATTGCAATGAATTCTTATTAAGCGGTTTGGCCTCGACAACGACAAAGTTAGGTGCCATTTATCGCGCATCCGAAAAGCATCTACATTTATCAGTTTACAAATTTTTAAGTAATCCATAAATACATACAGCTGTTAAAAATTTAATTGACTTCATGGATATGACTGACTATTAATGGAGGCAATGGCATCACTTATGTAATTTATATAGTTATTTATAATTCAGAACCCAGGACGAAACTACAAACTACAAGCAGTTATTTTTAGGTCTTAACGGCTACATGTTACGGTAAATTGCTAATTATGCGTTACATTATGCGGCGTATTACAGTTAAGCTAGCTAGTGCGTACTTGCTTATATTAATATTGACCAGCCTAAAAGGCATTAATTACGCCAGACTGATTATTAATATGAGAAACAATTTATGCCACAAATCATCAATTTACTGTCTATAATTAATTTTAAGTGTTAAACTCATTAACGTTGTACGAGACTAATAAGTGCCTAACTGGCAACTGCTAACACAAACTGTGGATTTGGAGACTGCCAGCCGCGGAGGTAACAGTGCTTCCCGCGTTTGGAGGCGGAGTCTGCCGTTGCTCGCTGCTGTACTGCGTGGACGCACTACGCAGCACATGCAGTGCACTTGTGTTCCGCTCTTGCATCGTAATAAGTACAGAGTACGTAATATGCCATAGCAGTTGCAGTGGGATCTTTTCAGTTTTCGTTTTTGATGTCTAAATTGAAATTTTCGGTTTCTCATATTTTATTCCAGTTTTTATCCACTTGAAATTGTTGAAACTAAAAATACGTCTGTGGCGCTCTCTGATTCGCTAGCAGAATTTAGAAGTAATGTAGTTCAAAACAATGTTCTACTTTCATGATTTCGATTTTCGCGCCATGTCTGTTGGCTCACTTGGCTGTAATCGTCGAACGTTGCAAGTTGCAAGTATATTATGAGCAACGATTTCGTCCCAACCGTTGCCTCGCTCCTTTGGACACCTTCTATGCATTAATGACAATGATGGAA